TGGGTGGGGAAAGAGGCAAGCAAATAAACAGCTGGAACACAGTGTAATTGGGCGGCCTCACAGGACCATGTGATGGTGCCAGCAGCAGAAACCGGGGGGTGGAAGGGGGGCAGGCAAAGCAGCTCTGCCAAGAAATACCAAGGCCAGCAGCCTGGGAATTGGGGAGCCATCACACAGCGTGACCCGGGGCATGAAGAGCTCAGAGTCCCATCCTCAGACACTCCCACTGTGGCCTGAGAGTGACAAGGCCCACTATTGGGAAATCTCCCACCTTGGAGGCCAAGGAAATGTTCTGTTTTGGCCCTCATCAGTTACCTATCATCTGCCTAATGATTTCCAGGCAAAGTACATTTTCAGTTTGAATGAATCATCAAGTCCAGCCCTTTGTCATTAAGTAATATCTTATCATTTCCCTCACATGATACAAAGGCAAACTCCAGTGTGGACGACGGAGAAAGCTCAGTTCAAATCTCGGCCAGATCCTCTTATGACTGCGCTCATGAGCCCACATGAAAGTTGCAAAATTGCTTTCTGTACGACTGTGACTCTAGGCATTTCCGAGGAACTCTGCAAGGCTTGTCTTGTTTGCACAGTGGCTGTGTTTATGGGCAGAGCATCTTCGAGCTTCACCCCAGTGGTCAGAATGTCCTTGCTTTCTAATGCTGAGTGCTAATGCGGAATCCCACTTCTCATGGATGCTTTGTTCAGCCCTTCCTTTGTGGATAGACACTGGGGTGGCTTCCACCTTTTGGTTACTGTGAATAACACAGGTGTACAGATGGCCACTTGAGTCCCTGATTTTAGTTCCAGAAGTAGACTTGCTGGATCCTGTAGAAATTCCGTTTTTAACATTTTTGAGAAGTTTGTACGCTGTTTTCACAGAGCTGCATCATTGTACACTCCCAACAACATCTTCTATTCCTAAAAGAAAGAAAAAAACTGTGCTATGCAGCAAGTGCTCTCCCTCTAAGAACAAAATTTTTAGGAGTTCATTTTCAGCCTGGTTGAATCGGTGTTTCTCCAAGAGTTTCTCATGGCTAGTTTCGCAAGAACAGAGGGTTCAATCACTAAAAATATTTCCAAAACAACACATACTGCATTCTTTCCTTGTGTATTCAAAACATGTGAACTATGCAGCCTTGAGAATCTAAAGCAGTACAAATTAATTTTTAGTAGCTGTTATAAAAGCTAAAAGCTATATTTAAATAATCCATACATGAAAAACAGGGTAAAGCCTCACTTCTGGTTAACATTCAAGACAAAGCTACGCAAGGTCAGCAATGTTCCCAGAGCTTTAATTGTCTAACTCCAAAAAGAGCATAATGCTGAATAAAATATGTCACATATTATACATAAACTTACATGATTCAGCTCAATGCTTTAAAGCACATTGTATGAGGAGTAACTGGCAATGGGTAGAAGGTTTCTTTTGGAGATTTTGAAGTATTCTAATGTCAGATTACAGTGCACATCTACTGTGATGAATTACAACAGGTCCACTTTATATCTTTATAAAGTTGTTAAAATTAGGGCTTGGCATGATAGCCCAATGGCTAAATCCTCACTTTGCAAATAGCAGGATCCCAAATGGGTGTGGATTCATGCCCCAGCTACTCCATTTCCCATCCAGCTTCCTACTTATGGACTGGGAAAGCAGTAGAGAATGGTCCAAAGTCTTGGGACCCTGCACCCTTGTGGGAGACCTGGAAGCAGCTCCTGGATTCTGGCTTCGGCTCAGCTCCGAGCGCAAAGGCCACTTGGGGCCACTGGATGAAAGATATTTTTCTGTGTCTCCTTCTCTCCGTAAATTTCCCTTTCCTATCAAAATAAAAGTTGTTACAATTAGTACACAGTTTATAAAGTCAGGAACCACATGAGTCATTGTCAGTCAAAATAGCCAAATGGTACTGGAAGTCAGAGTAATAATGGGGGAATGATGGATTATCTAATACAAGGTGTTGACGATGTAAATTGGTAACCCTACCTCAGATTTTTTACCAGAAATTTTCTAATACATTTTTCAATTGTGAAAAAACAAAAGATTTTAAGAAAATAAGATGATCTTTCCTATTATCTTTTTTAAAAGATTTATTTTATTTTTATTGGAAAGTCAGATACACAGAGAGGATGAGAGACAAAGATGAAGATCCTCTGTCTGCTGATTCACTTGATGATATTCAAATCATAAAACATATGCAATCAAGTAGATGATGGAATTACATATGAATTGTGTTATTATTAATAATAACAAAACAATAAAATATCCCAAATGTTCACCATAGGAAAGCTAGTTAAAGGTAACTCTTCCTTGGGCCAGTGTGGTGGCACAGCAGGTTAAGCCACTGCCTTTGATGTTGCCATAAAATATGAGTGTAGGTGCATGTGTCATCCGTTTCAGTTCCCATCCAGCTCCCTCCTAAAGCACCTGGGAAAGTGGCAGAAGACAGGCTGTGTGTGTGGGTTCTTGCCATCCATGCAGGCGACCCAGATGGAATTCAGAGCTCCTGGCATTGGCCCAGTCCAGCCCCTACTGTTGTGACCATTTGGATAGTGAACTGGGGCCTGGAAGATCTCTTTCTCTCTTTTCTATAATTCTGCCTTTCAAATAAATAAAGCCTTTAAAAAGGAGAGATAATTGTCCCTATCCATGCTAGGGTCATCTTTTAGAAAACAGGAAGAGACTAAATACAGCTCTTCCCAACTATTCGCAATTTTCTCATAGTGAGGCACTATTGTCTAACCACCTTCTCTCAACGATGACTTCAGCTCTTATACCCAGCTTCCGCTCCACTAGTCTTGTATCCCATCAGCAGCTAAAGGCCTCCTTACTAGCATTTCTCATGAGGACGTGCTCCATTTTCACATCCCTTCTCATAGTCTCTTCTAATTAGCACTTATTGGGGAGACAAACCGGCAGTGTAGACATTTTTAAAACCATTTTCTTTATCTGAATAGCCTTTAGAAAGGTTAATGTCTGTATCACAGACTCACGAAGCTTGTCTCAATTGGACAACTGGATGAGTAATTTTGATTTTTTGCTGTGATTCATAAACGGTGTGAGTGCAATCCCAAGGATTAATATATTATAAACCTGATCCATGATGTGGTGGTATTCAGTGGTGGTGACACCTATAAGAGATCTCTCCTTCCTCCTCCTCTCTCTCTCTCTCCTTATCTCTCTCTCTCTCTTTCCCCCTTCCTTCTTCCCTCTTTTGCAAGTGCCCTCATCATGATGCCATTCCTCATGAGGTAATGCAGCCAAGGGCAACTGCACTGGCAGGGGAAGGGCCTTCACCAGAACCAGCCCATCTGAACTTTCAACCTCCAAAACTGTGAGCTCATTTGCTTCTTTTCCTATCTACCCTCAGGTATTTCATTATAGTAACAGAACAAGACTAATACAACGTGCTATGCCAAGTCTAGCAGAGATGCCAAAAGATGTTCAAGTGTTGTGTGCAGTTAAAACTCAGTTTAAAACACTGAGGTTGTGTCAGAGATATAAAGCCTGTATTGCAATAAATGCTATTGCTTTTCACTGATAAGACTTCTAGGACTCAGACTTGTCTCAAAATTATGTGTATATTCTGTGTTTTCCTTCACTTGTCTTTTCTGTGCTCTCTCAAAATTCCTAGGGCTAATTCAAAAATGTTGCGGTTTCCCTGGTTAATTTTCTGAGCCACTGTCAAAATACACACACACACACACACACACACACACACACACACACACACACACACACCACACACAAATACAAAACCATCTAGTTGTCTTTCCCATGCTTTATAATTTTTTGTTTGAGAGATTCATACCAGGTCAAGCAGTATACATACTTTTCAAATTAAAACACAAGCCCAGCCATCCCCAAATTATTCATTTGTATAGCTCCAGAACCACCTATCCATGTTCTCCTATTCAAGTAACTGACAATTCTAAAAAATATTCAGCCTAAAATCTCAGGTCTCCCCATCTAATGCTGCCCACTCAGTGTGCCTGGACATCATGCTAATAAATGGCCTATTGTTTCCAACTGCCAGGCTTGGTGGAGGAAAAACCCAAGCACTAAAGAGCTAAAGAGACTGGTTAGCTTCCTCATAGAAACACGTGGTGCCATGCTCAGTGTAATCTCACACAGCCCTTAACTGAGCCCCAGTGTTCAGGGCTCAATGGGACACCACGACATTGCATCCTGCAGAGTTTAAATTAAAGTTAGAGTCTCCCTTAGGACATGCACAGTGCTCCAATGAACACTAATTGCCATTATAATTGACTATCAAGTGGAAAAAAACATGGTTTTCCTTAAAATGTCTATTTCTCAGGCTTTAAAATGTCCATTAATTCTAAGAAAGCAACTGTGGATGTGTGCAAATATTAATTAGGATGTGTAATGTGATATTTATATTAGTAGGACACTGGAAATAGCTTAAATTTCTATACTACGGGATTGTGTTCTTAGAGGATAGTAATGACAAAAGCAATGATGATATGATGTTATGGATAACGTTGGCTGTGAAGGGTTCATGGTAATTATTGAGAAAACTTAGGAGGAATTGTAGCAAGAAGATCCTACCTTTTCTGCACAGCACAAGCAGAAAACATTGGAAAGGTGTAAATATTAATGTGCAATGGACGATTATTTCTGGGTGGTCAGAATAGCATTGGTATTTGTCTTATTCAATTGCTTCTCTACGTTTCCATGTTTAAAAAAGCATTGCTTTCACAAAAGAAAATGTCACTTTTCAGAAGGCATCACTGATTTCTGTAAAGAAAGTGTAAAACCACAATCTACTTTCAAATTTGTCAATCAATCATGTATCTGCACTAACTTCTGTGTAAATAACTGAGAACTTTTAGGGATAATATGGGAACCGTATCTGAGGGCATCATGAGGGTGAAAAAGGTTTCACACGTGGACGAAGGCAAGCATGGGAGTGGTTACTAACACCCGCTCTCCTACGCGAGCCGAGAGAGAATGCATTTATTCTCCTGTGTTTCTCTTCCAGAGCCAAAGATGTTTGTCTTGCTCTATGTTACAAGTTTTGCCATTTGTGCGAGTGGACAACCTCGAGGTAATCAATTCAAAGGAGAAAGCTACACCCCAAGATATATCTGCAGCATTCCTGGCTTACCTGGACCTCCGGGTCCCCAGGGAGCCAACGGGTCACCTGGGCACCACGGCCGCATCGGCCTTCCAGGCAGAGATGGTCGAGACGGCAGGAAAGGAGAAAAGGGAGAGAAGGGAGCTGCAGGTAATGATGACGAAGTTGCACAAAGCACTCCTCCCTCGTCCCCACTTTATGGCTGCTCCCTCTCTGCTGCTTTGTCTGGCAAGAAGTCCTCCTTTGGTACCGTCTGGATTCTGCCTTCACAGATCATTGCAATTTACTGAAACCTTACTGTGTGCTTCAGATACTGCTCTGACCCTACCTGAATCCTCACACAACTATGATAACAGTGTCTGTGGGTGTCCATTGTCCCCTTGCTCTGATGAGACAGCTAAGCTAGAGTGTTAGGAAATGAGTTGCTGAAGATGGAGAGATGGGTGTGTGCAGCTTGTAGCTACTGGAGCCACTGAGAGACTCTGCCACTCAGGCAGTGGCTGAATGTGTGAGTGTGTGGACAAGCAGACAGACAGATGAACAGGAGGGGTGACAGACCAACTAAACAGAAGCAGGAATTAGGTAGACACCAGACACACAACCTGTGTGGCCCCAATACCCTATACAAGGATACCTTACATGCCTTGAGATGCTGTTTTTTACAGATGGAATGGCAACCACAGTGTGTGTGCTGCCTTTCCTGGCACATCACATTTTTGCCTGTCTGGTAGCAGCTACAACATAGATTTATTTGTAGCTCTGTACAAGTACAAGTGTCCCCTAGTCCTTCGATAATGTTCGCTCTTGCTCTCCACAGATAAGTTGGCCCAGGAAGCTTGCCAGGCTCTGCAATTCTTCACAGTGAACCACATTGAAATTCTTGAAGGGCTGTGTTGGCTCTGAAAGAGGAAGGGATTTGAAAACAAGTTTCTGTGTAAAACCTGGGACAAAGGAGTGGGACAAAGCAATCAAGAGATCTAAGAAAGTGCCTCTGTCTAATCATCATACCTGATTTACATGCATGCTGTGAGACAATATTGTAATGTATATCCAGATTACTGGGCAAGAATTCATTTCTGAATTTGCCATGCAGAAAATATTTGGCAAATCAGTAACTAGCAAACCTGTGGACATTGCTCCACATAAGAAAAAGAATCTTTGATGTGGACCATGCATGGAGACTGTGAATATAATTTACCACATAGTCATTTTTAGGAGTATTCTAGAGATCCTATATTAACACCAGAATTATATATTACAGAATTATATATTACTGTCTCTCCTGATTCACTGTGTCTAGGAGCAATATTGTAGTAAGAGATAAGCAAGCATTGGAGGCAGAGATGAGGCTCACATCTTGGCTCAGCTGCTGACTTGCTATCCCTGGGCAAGCAGCCCCTCTGAACTTCAGTTTTCCTCATTTGTAAATTGGCAATAGTAAGGGTGATTATGAAGTTTAAGTGAAATAATCTGTGAAAAACACCCCAAAGATAACTCCCATATGGTAAGCACTCAGCCAACAATAGCTATTATTACATACTGCATTTTAATATGCAAATATAGGTCACGGGTAAATCTATGACTATCCAATGGTGTATAGCATATATACATATACATAAATATATAGAACAAACATATATTCAAGTAACATACATTCAGGTTGTATATATATTTGTATAACAAGTATATTTATATTGTGTACCTGTTACTCTCCATTATTATCCTAGACCAGTGTTTCTTAGCTTTCACACAAATGACACGTGAGTCATTTTTTACCTTGAGGAAACTTCCTGTTATTGCAGGCTGTTGGGAATCATCCCATGAGAAGCTTCTAACTGTGCCAGCAGCCAAGGCCTGCAGACGCTGCCAACTGCCCTGAGGATAGAAATGATACAGAATCATACCTGGGTGAGAACATTGTTCTAGGCACTGGCAACACAAACTTTGCTAAGACATTGTCTTTGCATTCATAAGCAGACATTTGAGTTGGCGATGCCAATGTATAATGCATAATTACAATATATCATAATAATAACAGCCATTCATCCACAAAACACTGTGCTAAAAACATTAATTTAGTATTTAATGCCCACCAGAATCCTACTAGCTATAATAGTATCTCCAATGAAAAATTCAATTTCAAAAATGAAATGACTTTTAATCTAATGTACACCTACACACGCATGAGGATAGATAACAACTCAGAAAGTTAAGGTAGGAGTGACAATATGGTCAACGAAGAGATGCATACATCCTTTAGAAGCTACCAGAACGGAGTCATTGGTGGAACCTGATGGGAATGGTGTGGTTATGGGAATGTGCTTTGGCACTTCCTCTCCATGTTTCTCTTTAACACCACAGGGTCCCCTCTTTCTTGTATCCTTGGTGAATAGTTCCATTATATCTGGCTCATTTAAGCCCATGCAGAATCAAGTGAACTTTTTTTATTTTACTTCCCTATTCTGAACTAGACATTCAGAATTTATTATATTGAATTAAAATTTTCTACAAAAATATTTGCCCCATCATAATATGTAAAAACCATTACTATAGTACATTATTAACACTTGACCTAATCTGAATATGTATTCATATAAGTATCTTCATATACCATTAAAATTACCTCATGGAATAGTTGATTCCAGTTTGTGATATTAATTTAGGTATTCTGTGACATATTGCAAGTCATAGGTAATAAGGAATCACAGCTGGGGAAGGTGCCATTCATGCCAATGTCCCACTCAGCCCCAAGTACAGTAAGTGGCATGCAGTAGATGGTTAAGCGGTATTAGATCATGGATGGATGGATGGATGGAGAATGGATAAATGAAAGAAAGATATGTTACTTTAATAAATACAGGCACACCTGTTTTATGCAGAACTAGGACTGAAGTCTTGCTGTCCAATATGCAGTATCAGAGCAAACACTAGTACTTATTTCATAACTCTCCTCTCTACCCAAGCCCATATCTGACATAGCACGAAAGTGAAAAATGAGTCATTCTTGTTCTACTCTTGTTGTGTAATGTCTTAGCACACAGGAAAATTCTCCATGTAAACAGGACAAATTACTGTAGCCACCTCACGATTACCTCTCTTGCAGCACTTTGGTGGACTGAAAAAGTATTACTATAAAACGTGTGAGGTTGAGGTTGTGAAGAGCGTTTCATGAATGGCTTTGTGAAATTGTATTCTAGTATTTGGTCTCAGAAATCTTTGAAGAGGATCGCTTCTCAGCCCTTTAGCTAAGATCAAGTGTAAAAATTTTTCAAGAGGACAAGATACCTTACAATATAGCACAACAACTTCATTTCAAAGACTGAGAGACTAAGGCATGAGAAAGCCAACCCCTTCCTCAAGTTCCAAGGAATAATGCATGGTTGATGGGGGCTTGATTCTCAGGTCTGCTAAGTCTATATTGATTGCTTGGATGTAAGTCCTGTTTCTCTGTGTTCTAAGATAGAATATTTGAACTCCTGACAAAGTGTGGCTCATCCAGAATAGGCATACAAGAGAATTTGTGCATGTGATGAGATTTTTGTGGTCAAAATTGTTACTACCACCAAAATGGTCAAAACAAATTAAATCCCCTTGAATATAAAGTAGCAATTTAAAGGTTGTAGTCTTTGATTCCAAAATGAATTTAAAACAAAATAGTCCTCGAATTTCATTTCTACTATACAGAAACAACATTAAAAGATCAAACTACAATGACTTTTTTTCAAGAAATAAACATGAGAAGGTGTTTTGGCTGGGAATAGCATTATTTGAACACAGCAGCAAAAGTCACATTGTTAGCATTTTCTGTGCATTATAAATCATCCAATGGTTGCTTATCAAAATTACTGAACTATTTGATATTTTAAAATGAAAGCTCTAATTCCCAAATTTACATTACTCAGGACACTTCATTTCTAACTTTGCCAATTGAAAACAGTTGAACTAATAAGCTAATACATTCATGCACGTGTAATATTCAGAGATATTATATCAAGGCACCAAGAAGATAAAAAGGCTCAACTTAACAACTTTTTTGAGAACAAATGGATCTTAAAATGAAACTACACAATCCATCAACAGTATATTTTCCCTGAAAACAGGAGCATATTACAGATTACCAATAAATTCAATACTTCTTGAGAAAACGTCATTAAACAAGCACAATTTATGAGCTGCATTTGGCGATTAAATTGAGTGACATAGTTTTATAGTATTAAGTCCCTGCTATTACATTTATGGTTTGGGGATTATAGAGATTTTGCTTATTACTTCCAACAAAGATTTCCATTTCTCTGTGTTAAGCCTATAGTTGATCTGCAGAAATAAAGATGAACACACAGAAAATACTCCTGTATGATTATTTTCAATGTGTTGAAATTCTTTCACATCTATTATTTTCTGTGTAGACTACCCAGAGAACTTAAGGAACTTGACTAAGTAGATACAAGCATTTAAGGGTACAGACCCTACAGTGTTTAGGATTCTTGAATCTTCCCCCCAAATTAAGAGGTATTTTAATAAAGTGAACACCCAAGGAGACTAAGAAAGTATGATTTCAGTCCTAGTCTTATTCCAGAAGCAAGTTTTCTAACTTCTATAGGATTCCATTTTCTGCTCCAAAAAGGAGCTGCATGGCATTAGCAGTCATTATTTTATGGCTATTTTATGCTAAGGAGCACTTGCCATGTTCCAGGTACAATTTATGTTGTATGGTCCAGCCACTCATTCCAGTGGATGTCAGTCAGGCATTAGTTTCCATCTCAAATTTCATCAGCACTTGCTTTGTTCCTTTGAGAAAAGCAACTTGTCTGTAGCTGAGTTTCTTCATCTGCAACTGAAATAATGACAATGCCTATTTCATGAAGTCATTGTGAAATTTAAATAAGACAATCTAGGCAAATGCAGCACCTCACACATCCCTGGTTCATAGTAACTTTTAATTTTAATTCTTTTATTATTAGCACTAAATGAAGCAGCATGGAATGTGAGACTGAAGAGTCTCTAAAGATTTGTGACAACTCTGCCTCTGTGATCTCATTAAAAGGAATGATAATATCATATTCATTGAACAATTCCTGTAGTAACCAGTACCTGAATATTAAATAACCTATCATTGAAATAATCATTAATTTTTTTAGTTGGTCCTTAAATTATTTTTCATATACTCAAGGAAATATCCTTAAATTTCTGAGTATATGTCTTCTATTCCACTTTTTGTTGCATCAATGATTTGTTAAAAATGTATGCTTTAATATTATACTACAGAAAACTGGCTTGAAAAGGCAAAATTTTGGCGTAACAAGGACTGTGTAGCATGCTGTTTGCAACCTTATATTTAGAGGAATTATTAATGGAACTATCTACTCTTTTTGAAGGTTTGAGAGGAAAGACTGGACCACTGGGTCTTGCTGGTGAGAAAGGAGACCAAGGAGAGACCGGGAAGAAAGGACCCATGGGACCAGAGGGAGAGAAGGGAGAAGTGGGGCCACCTGGGCCTCCTGGACCAAAAGGAGACCGAGGAGACCAAGGGGACCCAGGGCTGCCTGGAGTTTGCAGATGTGGAAGCATCGTGCTCAAATCTGCCTTTTCTGTTGGCATCACAACCAGCTACCCAGAAGAAAGGCTACCTATTATATTTAACAAGGTTCTGTTCAATGAGGGGGAGCACTACAACCCTGCAACAGGAAAGTTCATCTGTGCCTTTCCAGGGATCTATTACTTTTCCTATGATATCACATTGGCTAACAAGCATTTGGCAATTGGACTGGTACACAATGGGCAGTACCGAATAAAGACCTTCGATGCTAACACAGGGAACCATGATGTGGCTTCAGGGTCCACGGTCATCTACCTGCAGCCAGAAGATGAGGTCTGGCTGGAGATCTTCTTCACAGACCAGAACGGCCTCTTCTCAGACCCAGGCTGGGCAGACAGCTTGTTCTCTGGCTTTCTCCTGTATGTTGACACAGATTACCTAGATTCCATTTCAGAAGATGATGATCTGTGATCAGGATGCAGACCTGATGTTTCCAAGTTTGCCGTAGCACACATTCAGATTTAATCAGGATTCTAAAAGACTGAGCAACCAGGAATGGGCTCCAAACAGACTCCCACTCAGATTCCAAAGCATTCACAGACAGTTCTAGAAGAATTTTGTCAAAATGAGATAAACCACCAAACAGCTGAAACCAATCCAAATGGAACTAAGTCAAACAACCCCAGATATGTATGTTTTTGAAATTGATGTTCCAAAATATTTAAGCAAATGAAAGACAATGTTAACAGATTTTGTATCAAATGACCTGAGTGGTAAAACCAACAGGCAAGACATTGCCTCATTAAATTGTCATAAAATTACATTTTTGTCCATAGTATCCCAGGAAAAATCTTCAGTGGTTCTTGAAGGCTACAGTAAGTTAAAACCCAAGGTAAAAGATAATGAGCATTTTCAAGAAGGTTAAAGTGACGCAATAAACTTCTGGTTTATTTTTCATTTATTCATGTTTTTGTATATGCTCACACAATTCCTTACTGAGCTTTATGAACCAAACACTATGAGGCTGATTCAGATTTAATAAGGAGTTAAGACAAAATTCTACCTACCTACAGACTAGGGTGTGATGAGCATGCTCTGACAACATTATGAGCACCAAGCAAGAAGATTGATTCCAGGCTAGAAGCACACAGCACCTGCCTTTCTTGGGGCTAGGATCTAGAGAAGATTTTATTCAGGGAGAAACATTGAATTGTCAGGGTAGATGTGTTTAAATGGAGAGCAATGATTGCAAAGCGAATGGGGCCATAGCATCTGCATTGCTCTCATCCCATCCTCAATACATCACTGGTATTGTCTGTGTTGGAGGGGTAAACAGCCCAACAGCCAGAAAAGGCCTACAGGGGGGAGATGGAAACAGAGAGAAAAAGGCAATAGGTCAGTCCCTCAAATCCTTTGATATGATCATTTTCCAGGACAAACATTTATCCTGAACGCCTTCTAACAGATAAGCACACTACTTTACATTGTGGTAAGACCTTGTTTCTTATGAATTTCCTAGGTCTTAAGTTCAAATAAACCAAAGCACATGTACACCAATGTATGAGTGAGCTGGTGGGAAGATAATCAGGCAGAGGAGGGAGAATGCCGGTGTCGATGGATGTGCTCTGCCAGCCTCAAGCTCCCTCTGTTCACTCATTGTTCCGTGTCCACTTCCTGTTCCAACTGACCTACAATGTCCATCTCACCCTTGATTTTGTCCCATCTATAACTCTCATTGTAATAGAATTCCTTTAGTCTATCCATTTTGGTATCTTCTAAACCTTCCTCACTGCAGTCTTCTCTTCACTCATTCATTTTTAACTATTTTTATTGCCCCCTATGTTGGAATGACATGATTGATTTATGGCAACGCCAAAGAACGCGAGGTAGAAATGGCACCACACCTGCCACCAAATTGTTGGAGAAAGGAAATGATTTGTACACATGTAGAAATACCTTTTCATTCTGGAAAATAATGTGCTAAAATGTGATGAACGTTGAATTGGGGATGCAGATAACAATATCAAGAAAGAGAAGGACATACTAACTTTTAAATTGGAAAGTGAGAGAGAAGAGCTCAGGAGCCCACTAGTTCTTGAGTAACAGATAAGACTTGGAGCAGTCCAAGAGCAGGCAGGGACACTGGAGACAGAGGTCATGATGGAGACAAGGCATGCAAGTGAGAACAGAGATCCAGAAGAAGAACAAAAATGGACCTTATTGTGCAAAGAGCCTGAAAGTGCCAGCCTGGAGTGTGAGAACTATATTCAGAAGAAAGTGTGGAGGCCCTGTGTGGTCCAGGCCTAAGTGCTGCCATCACCAGAGGAGAAACTTACAGTGCTCGAGTAGCTGTACATCAGGGCAATGGCTCATTCTCCTGCTTTTAGATGTAGCTTACTTCCACTGACGCTCAGAACTTTAGACATGTTCTCCCTGTGTCCAAGAGACTATGAGCAATGAGGACCAGGCAAAGAAGAGAGAGAAATTCTGATTCAGACTGGCTATTTGCCTAGAAGCAACAGCTAGAAGTCCAGGATACAAATTAGGAAACTGTCAACAGAATTAATTGCTCTTGGAAACAAGAAAAGCACGGACTTATTAAAGACCAGTTTGTTGGAAAAGTTGGAAGTGACCCTCCCAAAAATAATTATGTAATCAAAAGTTTTTTCTGATTATGATCAATCCACAAATGCATTCATACTTTAAACATTGTTTACTTATAAGCATTCTTTACAAATTCTGTTTGAGTTGCCCCTTCAACTGAAGTTCCTTTAGTTCTTAGAAATGGATTTTTATTTCATAATATCTGGAGAAGTGATGATGAGTAACACAGACTTGAGACAGGAAAGACTATTTTGGTATTCAAAAGACAGAATTTTCAGCAAATCCAGGTGTCTATTATTCCTTCAAAAACCACAGATATACTTTACTCATATTTGGGGATATTTGTGTAGAAAAGTGATTTGAGTTTTACAAAAATTTCAAGTCCCATTGCAATCATTCTTTGCGAGTACTGGCTTGCAAGGATTATGTATCCAGCAGTATTTATTGACTATAATACAATCTTGCTCCAGAACTGGGTAAGCCATTTGCAAGTGGGTAATATACAGAAAGAAAACAGCAGTAAGACAGAGACTGCGGGTGAAAAGAGCAAAGCAAACCAGTAAAGAATGAGGCTAACACAATACTGCACGCATAAGCATGCAACGCTGGGGCACACACTGATGGGGCACATGCTTCCTTGTTTCCATACGTGTGCAGGGATGTCACCCATGGCATTTATTACTGTGAATAATGCAGCCTCTGATGGAAAACAGATACAACGAATTCTGGCTATACTTTTTGTATCACTCCATGAAAAAGATTGCAGACATACATAAATTGTAGATATCAGCTTCTTTGGACTGTCTCTCTTTCCTTCCCCATCACCCCACATGTCCAATAGAGAGCGTCATGACCATCACTGTCACTAGGGCACAAAGCACACAGTGTGTTATGTACATTTTCCGTCTTTTCCCATTGAGCTTTGCTGAACATAGACTCCTTTTGCTTCTAGTCCTTCAGTGCACAATTGATTTATTGCACTGATCCACTCTCAATGTCAAGGTTTCAATCATACATTCATCATCACTTTTCCTAGATTGTTCTTTTAAATTTTGTAACTAACCTCTTTCCTCCATTCACAATTCTATATTAGTCTGTCTTCCACACTACACCACACACTACACCTACTAAAGTGCAAATCTCATCATGTCTCTCCCCATCTGAAAAGTCAGTGATGGTTTTCCTGATGCCTTCATTATAGACGTCATCTTGAACTTGTAAAGCTTATCTTTTTGCTGTCAGGCATGTCTTTTTTTTCTCTTTTCTGGAATCCATGCCCATTTCAAGTGTGAAAGACCATCCTCTCTTCCATGATAAATCTATAGGTATCTCATTGGGATTGGTCCTTCCAGTATGCAAATCTCCAACCTGATCAATCAGAGAACAGCATTGCATTCACCAAAAATAATTGTTTCAGATGATTCAAAAAGAACCAATGAGATTTATCTGGGACTTCCACAGAAAATAATCTTATTTTTCCACAGTGGACTTAATCTGACAAGACTCTAGCAGCCATTTTACCCTCATAAGCCATGATTCCATTGGATAAAGGACTTATCCATAAATGAAGAAGCAGAGAGACAGAATTAAAGAAAGGAAAGAGGGTCTTGGGGTCATCATTTGAACTGTCATTTCAACATACCGCTAGATCTTTCCTTCAACCTTCCAATTAGGTTAACCATTAAATGATGTTCTGCCTTGAGCCCTTTGAGACTTTAGTCAAGACAAAAGACGTTATCTTACCTAATATCAATACTAGCCTGTCACATTGGATCCTTTGGGATCTGGCCTCTGTTTTCTTTTATAGTCAAATAACTCACAATATAGAAAACTGATGGAGAAAATGGCAATTCTAGGATGTCTTGCACTTGTAATGCCTTGGAACCTTCACATATTGCGTCATTGCTGCCTTTGCCTGGCTCACTTCTCAAGGTTCAGCTTCAAAGTTACGTAGTTTCCTCTAAGTCTCCATTTCCCTTTGCCCCAGGAGAAACACAGTGACTTCATGTGCCTGCATTACCATCTAGGAACCAGTGTGTAGTCATGGCAGCAATAGTGAAGACTTGCTCGCCACTATTAGAATGCTTTTCATGTATCAGTCCACCGAGTTCTTGCTATTGTCTGCCTGTTTGTATTTCTCCTAAATTCATATGCTGCTACACACTCACCACATGTAATGGGTGTTAGAAACCTTTGAGAAGAAACAAGATCAGAGGACTCAGCTTTCATGAAAAAGACTACTATTCTTACAGAAGCAGCCTCTTCCAGCACCTTGGTCTTGGCCTCCCCAGCCCCCATAGATCCTATTGTCCATTATCTAACCACGGTCTGATATTTCGTTTTAGCAGCCCAAAGAGACATTCTTCACAATAATTCTCCTTCCCATTTTCGAAGTAGAAAAGCTGAAGAGACAAAGGGGTTAAGAAACGTGAAATTTGTCTTTAAAAATGTCTGGTTTTAGAAAAACAAAGATCAAGTATTGACAAGGATGTAGAAAGAAGGGAACCATTACAAACTGTTGATAGATGCATAGATTAATGAATTCCATTATGGAAAGTAATATGAAGGTTCTTTGAAGAATTGAGAATTGAACCACCACATGAGGCAGCAATCCCACTGCTAGGTGTACAAATAACAAAGAAATGAAGTCAGATGTTAAAGAGACCTCTGCACTCCCACGTTTACTGCAGCATCAACCTAGATGTCTGTCTGATAAAATGGATAAGAAAAATGTGATGTACATAAAATGGAATATTGTTCAGCCATAAAATGTGGAGAAATCTTGCTAATTGCTATGAAATTGATGAACTTGGGAGACTTTAAAATAAGCAAAATGATCCAAGAAAAAGAAATCAAATAATGTATGATCTTCTTGTAAGTCGAATCTAAAACAATTGGTCTTAGAAGCAGAGAGTTAAATGGTGTGTTAAGGGGCTACAGTGATTAGTGCTGGAAATGAGACAAAGGTGGGTTTTGGGAAAAGATATTGGCCAAAAGAGGGACAAAATTTCAGTCAGGAGGTGTCTTCAAGAAATATACAACACAGCGACTATACCTGCTGACAGATATTATGTTCCTGAAAGTTCTACACCAAAACAAATATGTGGGGGCAACATACATGTATGTTATCCACAGTAGTTTTTTTCCTGATGTTTGTGTGTATCTAGTTCTTCAATACGTCATGTCGCAAACACGAAACACATA